AACTTCTACGTGCAATATAAACATTTCACTGTTGAAGAACTTCTACGTGCAATATAAACATTTCACTGTTGAAGAACTTCTACGTGCAATATAAACATTTCACTGTTGAAGAACTTCTACGTGCAATATAAACATTTCACTGTTGAATAACTTCTATGTTCTAAAATCTATCACATTTATCAAAACTGACAACCACCGTATCTCTTTCTAAAGCTGAGCACTAAAACGAATAATCTTAAATTATTGAAATTGCACATATAATCACAGTCTACTGAGATTACAAGGTATCCAGATAATTTTCAATGGTAGGGTTCTGTGTTCAAAAAAGTAAAAGCCTGCAAGCTCCCAGTAAAATAAACACTACTAGAAAATAATAAAAGCCTCAAGTAAATTCTTGACAAAAAGTAAAATGCAACATAAAAACATCACCATAAATATTTTAACTTTACACTTTCAAACATAAATATGTGATGGAAAGAGGCTAAAAAAAACAAACAAACTACCTGAACAATAACATTTAAAAAACTTTCTAGTTATTAGGCTATTTTAAATGTAAATGTCCTACATTTGTGAATATAAACATCTTTCTAATGTTGCAAATAAATCAAAATGTGCCTTTCTAGTACTTTGAATGATCAAAAATCGTCTTAAGCCCAAAGAACACGTTTTGAAAGACAAAAAAAAAATAACTAATTTTTGTGAAAATCATTAAGTAGCTTGCAAACAAAAACTGCAAAAAATATTGTACAGTAAAGTAACTTGGCAAAAAACATCAAGATTTTTTTTTATAAAATCTGACTAGAAAAAAACTTTTCTAAAAAAAACAGTTTCTTTTTACTAGGCATGCAAAATATCATACAAGTTACTATAAAAAAAAAACACTTTACAAGAACAGTCACACGAGGTACTATAAGTTTAACAAGGAAATAATGTAATCTTGGCTGCTGCTAAAATCTTTCTTGAAAATAAAAAAATGTAGTTTTAACTTGTAAAACAATGAAACAAAGATTAATGTTTATTTACGTATGCAGGTCCTGCAAGGTTCTAAGAGTGACACTCAAATAACACCTCACTTTTACAACAGTAGATGACTAGAGTTAAACTGTGATCAAATTATAAGATGTACCAACACAATTACAATATATAATTCTCAGTGTCAAAAGAAAGATATATATATATATACAAACACACATAAGTTTTAACAGTATTTGTGAGGAACAGTATCATTGGATCTCTTCTGGAGTATCTGAATGGCTTGACAATCATTATAATATGCACTTTCTATTTTGGACAGTTGTTTATAATCCAAATCCACCAGACCAAGAGAAAAAAGATAAGGTCTACCATTATTATCCAATAAGACATTTTCATCTGGAATATGAGCTGTCCTGAAAAAAAAATGTAAAAAATTATCATTATTATTTTGTATATATTATTATACAATTAACACCACTAGCAGCAAGGGTACCCGATTGATGACCAAGGGCAGTGTAGTAATAGAATACTTTTTGTAGTTCGCCTGTTTTTCTTAATTAAGATTATTAACAATCATTTCTTTAGGATTTTACCAGCTCTTCTGGTAGAAATTATTAAATAATTTAAAACATCGACAACTGCTAGTCTTCGTACTTTGTTTTTCTCGTTGTAAGTCTTTGCAAAAGCATTTTGGATTAAAGAAATATGAATAAACCTTTACATTATAATTAGTTCCTATTTTTATCTGGTAAAACTCTATAAAACACCATCAATACACACACACATAAAGAAACAGGCATTATAATAACAAAAACTAGAAAGGTTTAGTCTAGAAAATTTTATACTTTTTTTAATGCAAATTTTAAATGCTTCAGTTGTGCAGGTGTTACTGCCATTCTGCCATGTGTTTAGGACAAACTGTAGCAGGGAAAGTACTGGTACATTTGTAGTGTAAGATTTATTTAGCTGTATAAATAGATGCTGTATGGTGTGCGATTATTCAAATTAACACTAAAAATATATTTTGAATTTGTAAAAACAACTTATTTTGTAAAAAATAAAAATACTTTATATAACTAATAAAACCCAAATTTTGCCCAGTCTGAAACTGGTTAAAAATAAACATTAAAATTTTTGTTAAAATATGAACATTGAGAAACCATAATCATGAATTATTTCTCCCAAACAATGAGATAGAGTATTTAATGTTCCCAAACACAAACGGTTTTGTATGTTATTTGTAACATACATCTGAACTAGCTTTAAAAACATAAAAGAAAAGTAACAATGAAATCAATTTTATTTTTCACAAAATAATCCAAAAGGAAAGAAATATGTCAGTATGAACTGATCAAGAACCGTGATGGGTTTAGATTTTTGTGTTAAATGATTGTTCTATGAAATGTTTACATTTTTATAAATCCATCTGGAATAAAGATGAGTAGAAAAACCAAATGTATCTTTACTCTGTCCAAATGACTGGCTCTTTAAAAGCAGTAATTGAAATCCTTTGTGTTTAACATATCATCTTGAAAGCTTACGACTGGTACCACATTTCTAAACCTCACTAAAAGAATATTCCACAATAGGTTACATTTATTTTAAGCTACTCTATGTTTACAAGTTGCAATCTGTTGTGGGTGAGTATTAAACTCTAAGGTTATCTATCTCAAATTACTAATATGGCTAACCTTACTCTAAAAGTGGAATTTAACAATCATGTATTTAAATTCAAACTAGGAATCTACCCAGCAATCAGTATAGTTAATTAAATATATATTTATACATATAAGAATTAGAATGCATTGTTTCATTAGTTGAGTATCTTCATTGTCAGCAATAGTTTTTGGTAGTAATAATATCTCAAAAAGTTCAGCCAGTTTAGGAAATTCAGGTTAGATATAAATACATACATTAAAACAGCCTTTATATTAAAATCATAATATTAAACAATAAACCAAATAAACAGTAATGACATCTGATATACTAAACAGTAGACTAATTGTGTTGTGCCCCATCTGGGCAATGAAATCTAATTTTTTATCATTATAAGCCCTCAGACTTACTGCTAAGCCATGGGAGGGGAGTATTTCTTAACAACAAAAGCAGCATGACATCAAACTAGTAATCAGAACCAAAACTTTAAACAAGAGAAAAATAATACTAGAAAAAAAGTTGATGGCCTTAGTTTATTCAAGAGAAGGATGAAACCAAAAAAGGTTCAGAGAAAAGTTGAACGTTTGTACGTTAATAATTAGCAGAATTATTAACAATGAGTTACAACCAGACCAATAATGTAATTCTTGATAACAATATGGGTCCACAAGATCCTAAAAATTTGGAATAAAATATAGGGATCTGGAGAGTCTTTTGCTATGGCTTATTATGGATATGGTGTTGTAATGTTTTCCTATCTCTCCAAAGATAGTTATGGCTATCTGGCCAGTAACGACTATTTCTGTAACTACTCAACTCATATTTTAGTTCACAATGAATACAGTTTTATTAAGATATATTTCTGCATCATGCATTCTTCTGTAGTCCCTGTTCTTCTCCTTTAATAATCTGCACAGCTATTCCTTGTCATCTCCAGTTTCATTGTCTTATACTGAAGCTTGTTTCTTCCTCTTCTACATTCCACGGCCTTATCTTTATCTTCTACATTCTGAAGCCCCCCTGCTTTCTCCTTCGATAATCTGGAGTATTCTTCTTCTTCATCATCAGTTTCATTGTTTTATACCACAGCTTGAAGCTTGTTTCCTCCTTCTACATTTTGTAGCCCACTCTTCTCCTTTAATACTCTGCAGCATTCTTCTACACCATCACAAGTTTCATTGTTCTGATCCACAGCTGGAAGCAGACATCTATCTTCTACATTCTACAGCCTGTTCTTCATCATGTTCAGTCACTATTTTCAATGTCCTATAGCTCATTTGTTTTCATTACCATATTCACCATTCTTTAGTTCATTCCTTTTCCTGTAAACAATTTTATGTCAAGCAAAAATGATTATGCCTTGTCACTCTGTCGAAAATTTTTCCTGACACATTGCTTTATAAAGATTTCTACAGCCTAGAGGCTTTCTGGGGTATAAACCTGTAGACATCTTACACAAAAAAATTTCAATGAACTTATGTTGGTATGTTAGCTATGATAATACAGATATGGATAAACTAGCTATTGCTCATTTAGAGGAAGCTAGTTAGCTAGAGTAGTCTAAACAAAGCAACAAATGCATAATACTAAAAGCTAAAGAAAGGCTCTGGCTTCTTTGGAAATGTTTATTAGGCCCAACAGAAATTCCTCTTTGGCCACTTTTATAGCTTTCTTAGTCTAGAACTAGTATTTTGTCATGATTGCATCCACATCTGGTGTACTATTAGTATTTTGCTACTTTACACTTGCAAGTGTGCTTCGAATTTAATATTTCTAGCATCATTCCTCTGAGATATATGCTGGTTGTCCTTAAAGTTAACAATTATTACTGACTTTGTAAGAACCTCTATAAATATTGCATTACGAACACCATAACTTCAGGCAAAGTTTACTAAAAAAAATCTCCATGTACCAAAATAGAAAATTATATATCTCCAGTTCCAATGGCACATTCCTCCTAGATGGGGTGTTAGTCTATTACAGGATAACCCCCTAACTACCTGCTGGTAACCATTATACAACTGTCATGAGCAAGTCTCAAACTCACAATCTTCCAACTATGATTCAAAACACTAGCCACAATGCCCCCAACATAGATGATCAAAATTAACATGTTCTGTTAAAACACAGGAAAAATATGCCCCGTTAACTTACTGGACTTTCTTCTAATTAAGGCTTAACATACCTTTCTTTCAGCCTCTGCATCACCACCATAATAGAGCAGTCTTTTGCTGTGAGGGACAGAAGAAATTCCCATATCTATGACAAGGAAAAGAACATATATAGTTGTACTACATTTTTCACAATTTTAAAAGATATATAAACCAACTACACTAATGGGGTCAATGTTAAAATTCATGGGCTATTCAACAATTCAGTGTGTATAGTCCAACTCTTTACATTAACTTTTAACCAATGGCTCAGCTAATTTGAAATCACGGAAAAACAATTTCACTGAGATATAGAATCTCAATATTAGGCATAATTTCTGTACCCATTAATATGATGCAACATCTCTGCACTCACTTATATGATGTAACATTCTATCTAGCTTTGTTTTTCAGCAGTCTCTTTTAAACTTACTTAAGCCAAAAAATATCCACTTCAAAAACCCCTTAAAATTCTAAATTAAATACCAACATAAAACATTATTTATTATGATTAAGTTATTCTCACCAAAAACTTTAATTCACCATTTTTAAACTAAGGATCCTTTTGTAACTAAAATCATGACAATTTGCTAAATATTTAATGATAACATCTAAAGTTTGTGTAAAAATGGATTAACATAATCGTGTGAACAACATATAGCACACCAGCTTACATTGGTATGTAAATCTATACTTTATTAAAATATAAAATTGAAAAAATGTTTTTTTTTCCAAAATATCTTTATTTTTGCTTTAACAGTCCAAACTATTATAATTAAAATCATAAACTTTAAACCTAATCTGCATCCAGAAGTAGAAGAGGTCTTTCTTTTAATTTTCCAAGCAGTTCATAATAAGCAAACTATATCTTCTTTGCCACAGCTTGATGGCACTTTCTTTTCAGTTTTCAAGATTGGTTTACCACTTTAGACTTGTAAGCCTAAAAATCCTGCATATCTTTCAAGTTCTGCAATGCAACTCTAAACTAAAGTTTATATCTAATAATTTAATATTCATTCTAAGTTTTAATAGCTTTTCAATAACATTACCAGACTTTTGAATTTTCTCTTAGCTAGATTTTTTACTTCTCTCATTCTCTGCCTAATGATGATTAATAATTTTTAACTTCTCCTTTTTAAAAATGTTTTTAGGAAGTTTTCACGAATAGAAAGTTGTATTTCAGCTATAATTAAGCCAACTTGAGAATTTGGGTTCAGACTAACTCCCAAATGATAAATTAATTCAGTCTGGCTGTTGTTGGGCAAGACAGTTAATGATATCAAAAGTCATGATATAATTTCCTTTTAACTGATTTGAAGAACTTTACTTGCATGATATATTTTTCAAAATGTTAAGTAAGCCACATGCTATAACCATTCAACATGAGCATGATGACAGAAAATGCAACATAATATTGTAACAATATACTTAATCAGTTGGAAGATGATTAACCTGCACAGCTACAATATTGTAACAATATACTTAACCAGTTGGAGGATGATTAACCTGCACAGCTACAATATTGTAACAATATACTTAACCAGTTGGAGGATGATTAACCTGCACAGCTACAATATTGTAACAATATACTTAACCAGTTGGAGGATGATTAACCTGCACAGCTACAAAACAGCGTGTAGTTCCAGTGAGATAGATAACCTCTCCCACCTACAAAACAGTATGTTGTTCCAGTGAGATAGATCACCTCTCCCACCTACAAAACAGTATGTTGTTCCAGTAAGATAGATCACCTCTCCCACCTAAAAAAAACCAATGTGTTCTTCCAGTTAAGTAGATCACCTCTCCCATTATTAGCATGGTATCACCCAGTTTTTTTAAGTGGAACATGTCCATGATGTTGGAGTAGAAAAGTGTGTCCAATTTTTTGGAACCATATTTCTAAATGTAACCTTCCCCACAGATGTTTTCTCTCACTGTATTTGTGCCTCCCATGTAAATTGCAATCACAGAATTGTGGCCCATATTTTGGAAACTTTTATCCATGTTATTTCTTACACTCTAACACATGTATAGTCAGGAAATTAGAACCAACTGGATTTGTACTGTATAATCATTCTGAAGTTCAATGATTACTTGTGAAGATTTTTTCAATTTGTAGATTATTTGGAAAAAGTATCAAACTACTCCAATGACTACACATGGCACAGGTCACTTGCTAAACCAGGGCGGTAATTTAGACGCAACCTACGTTAAGTTACACTGGCCAGTGAGAATTCATTTTTTTAAAGTGTATGAAATTATTTTTTTTATTTATATATAAAATGAGCATTCCCTACGTTAATCCTACATGTAAAATATGCTAACTGCAAAACCTTATACTAAGTTATCTAGCATACGAAATATATATATATTACTATTTCACTGTTTAGGTTCGTTTTGCAAGTATCTATTTAATGAAAAAAAAATATGATAGGCTATTATTCTATTATCTAACAAGATTGGGGGAATGTCATTACACATATAAGGCATGTTCATTTGGAAAGGTACAGTGCAACATGTATCCAAATTCAAATTGATCAAATACAACTTGTCTGAAATCAATCTTCACCTCATATAATCTATTACACAAATAAAGAAAAAATAGTTGTATATTTACTGAAGTGTAATAATTGATATAAAATTAGTCTAACCTTTCTGGAGATGAAGGAGGACTCAGTCTCCCATGATTGCCTTTCAGTCTTCCCAAGACCTCTGTGAATTGCTAGGACAAGGAGGAGTCTGTTTAAGAAACCAGTGAATAATTGAAGCTTGAGTACCTGATTGGACCGAGTAATCTCAACTCACTTGACTAGTTAGTAAAGAATGTGCTTCAAGACATGTTTAAAGTGGTTTATTTAAACATTACAATGAAGCTCCTTCTCTACAATTTTAAGTCTTAAATTGATAAAGGAAAAAAAGTAGCATTACAGGAATTTGAAAACTTTACAATAATGGATGTCTGCACCTTTAAAAACTTTACCAAGCAACCACAAATCATCTAACTTATGTTGTGATAAACTTAGTAACATAGTAGTTTATAATAGACAAACTGAATAAAAATAAATAAGAATGAAAATGTGGTATTTAAAACATGAACGGGTGAAACCACTGTGACAATAAAACTCTTGTTTATACAATATCCAATTTTTGTTTTTTAAATATTCTTTCCGGTTTCAATATTCTGAATTTATGAAAAAAAAATATATATAATTTTTGTCACACAACACAGTTTCTCACTATACTATCACCCAGATAACAAAAGTGAATTTATTGTTCTTGAAAAATGTTAGCTAAAAATAATGTGACCTTCATAGTAATTTAATAAGAATAAGTACCTAATTTACAGAATATTACCCTCCTACTATTGCACAACCAATGTAGAATAGCAATTTAATAAGAATATGTACCTAATATACAGAATATTACCCTCCTACTATTGCACAACCAGTGTGGAATAATAATTTAATAAGAATATGTACCTAATTTACAGAATATTACACTCCTACTATTGCACAACCAGTGTAGAATAGCAATTTAATAAGAATATGTACCTAATTTACAGAATATCACACTTCTACTATTACACAACCAATGTAGAATAGCAATTTAATAAGAATATGTACCTAATATACAGAATATTACACTCCTAATATTGCACAACCAGTGTAGAATAGCAATTTAATAAGAATAAGTACCTAATTTACAGAATATCACACTCCTACTATTGCACAACCAGTGTGGAATAGCAATTTAATAAGAATATGTACCTAATTTACAGAATATCACACTTCTACTATTACACAACCAGTGTGGAATAGTAATTTCCTTGATGTTTTTTTTTCAGCTTTCAATAAGTCTATACACACTGTATTAAATTAAATAATAATAATTACTTTAAAATAATTAAATTATACCAAAACAAAGATTTAGTAGTATTTTTTAGCTTTATATACATGCTATTAGTATTACACAAATCAGAAGCAAAATAAACGTTTAAATCATGAATGAAAAGAACATCAGCAACCAAAAAATAGTAAAAAATTAAACCTATGTATGTATTCTCTATAAAACGTTTACATACATCATTATTCACACTATCTACAGGGCTCAACGTATGCTTCATAAAGAGCTTAGTGTATCCTCTACATAGAGCTTCAAGTACACGAAATCCCGGGCTTAACATATGCTATACAACACCGTATCCAGAGGTATTAGGAGGGTTTCATCATTGAGTTGGAGGCTCAATTTAAAATGCGTTATGACATGGTAGTGAGTCTGAGTATGCTAATATCCTTGAACACGAATAAACGTAACTTTTCGAACGCTGATATTTGTCAGACCATTGAAATGCTACTAGAACCTAAAATGCTTGGCTAGGAAGGAAGTTAACTTGTGGCTGAAGAAATGGTAGATTGTTAAATAAAGAAACAAGCCTCAAACTTTGCAGTGCCAGTTGCTTCCTTAATGTCTACCAGTTGCTGCTATGTGGCCAGCACCCGTAGCAACCCTGGAGAGGACATTTTCAATGTTGGGATGGCTGAGAAATGCAGCTGGAGAGGAACATCTAACATGACTGAATTTGCTATTTGTACATAGAAATTGACATCGATTATGCTAAAGTAGGTGACCATTCTGCTGTTACAAAATCAAATTGCATGGATTTTGTCCTGTAGTTTTTTTTCGGTAAGATTTTTTAATATATAGGTATATGACTATCAATTAACTATTTCCAAACATCAAGGCACCCACCCTCCCTCCAAAGCAACAAACAAACCTGGATACGGCCTTGATGTTATATACATATATAGTGCTTTATGTACATTACACAACAGAGCTGCAAGTATACTATCTACAAAAGTTCATGTAAACTGTATTTAACTATATGGGCTTGGTGTACAATACACGGGGATGGTGAAGATTGCCGTGAGTCACTGAAATTCCAAACAGAAGCTTTTGATGGGTTACTTATACAACTTACTTCTCTAAACAACTGTCTCCATTGTTTAGTTGATCCTTAAGAGCCTTGAACTGAGGGTAAAGGTTAGCAATGTCTGTTGTGTCCAATTGTTGGACTTGTAGGATACGATGCAGCACACAACCATCAGGTAGAACGTGGCTAGCTGCACACTCTAACAAACAAGACCCAAAGATATCTGACTACCACAATGATTAAACAGTGTGCACAACATTTTAGTGTATGTAGGTTTGTGTAACAAATATATAAGCTCTAAAATTCCATTGTTGTAAGTATTAGCTGTAACACATTGTTTTACTTTTATTTGATAAACCAGTTTAAAGACAAAAAAACAACAACAACAATATATGTAATGTGAAACAAACAATTGTGTAAAAGTGCTATGTTTTTCTGCAAAACATCATATACGGAAATAAAACTACAATGTATTTTCTTAACTCCATGTGGGGTGGGGTCCAAGTGTGCATTCCACAACCTTTCAGAGAGTGCTATTCAACATAACATTATGTATTTGATGCCAGAATTATTAAATATTCATTTGACCCTAAACTACTCATTCAATAACATTTTGTTGCTAAAGGAGGTTAAATATCAGACACTTTATACAGTGATACTGAAAAAAAAGTATGTCAATATGCCTTTTGGAGGTTCTAGAGGTTACACAAATGTAATACACAACCTGTAGGATGGACAAAAGTATTCAGAATTTGCACATGAACATCACCTTGTTCTCTGACTTCTCAGTCCGAGTCAGACTGACATCGTTGATTCACGGACATGAATAGAATTACTTGTTTTTTTTAACATGTCTGATTTTTTGTGTACAAAAGACTTGTATGTTTTACTAAAAGCTTGCTGCTTCTTGCGAAGATACACATAGAATATAGCACTGAGGCAGAAACATCTAGTATACTATGTTAAAGAAAGAAAAAAAAAGCATACAACATCTGAATAACTTGACCAGTGAGTTGCATGTGAAAAGCTGGCATGCATGTTAGCAGTTCGATGTTGTGAAAGAGACTACTTAGGATGAAGTGTTGAAAGTAAACATTGCATAGTATAGTATAGTTTTCTGTTATTCATAAAAATTAGTTCAACCAGCTGCAAGAAATGCTACAGATTATGTTAATTTGGTCTTACAACTTGCTGGTTTGGTTATATTATCCAAATTACAAATGATACAATAAAAAGTGCATCATAACATTTTGGAACCTTTTTTGTATTTTAATAAGCAATAAACAAGATAATGCATTTTAATTTAAACATAAATATTAAAAAAATGAAATGAAAGCAAAGTTAACTTTAAACCATTACCAAAAAAACACAACAAAAAGGCCATTTGTGATTATATATACTTGCTTAGCTTTCCTTGTGGCCAACTCTACCTCAAAAGTATTTACTTTCAATAAAAGCACCATATATATTACTTTTTTTTTTTTTTTATAAAAGTCGAGAAGACTTTAGTATAAAACTAATTTCAAAGTTTTCACATTTTCTGAGGCTAAAGCAATTCAGCAACTTTTCTCCTTGTGAAACCAACATTTTACAATTACGTAAAGATATTGATATTTTAAGCAGAACTAAGATAATTAAAAAATCATTTTAATCTGCCTCTCAAAGCTGCTTAAGGCATAAAGTAAAAATTATTGGTTCATACCTGTAGAACAAAGTTTACTCGACTTAACACAGAACTGATGACAAGGTTTAATAGCTGGTAGAAGTCCGTTGGAGGTTATGGCACCGGGGAAAACTTTAAGCAAAGCTTGAATAATCAGTAGGGCAAAAGAGTCTATTTCACTGGAATAAACATTTAAAAAGATGATTTTGTACTGAATATTTTTTAATTTAAAACTAATTTAAAAAACTACAAAGTTATAAAATGTAATAAGGTACTCAATATACATAATACACATCACCATGGTGAGGAAACAATGCAATAGAATATTTAGCAACAAGAGATGTTGCACACAAATTTGATGCACTTACCAAGATCCACAAAGAAACTTCTAATGAAATATTGAAATCGTTGAGTACAAATTTTTTGTATATTTTAACATTTTCTGGGTAAAATATTCACAAATAAATATTATAAATTGACAAAAATTTTGGTCATAACATCAGTTATAAATATTCACTCCTATACAATACAGATTAGTGAGACTGCTTTTATATTTATAACTAAAGTGAGGTTTTATCTTATTTGTTTAATGATAAACATTACTCTCAATACTTATAACTGAAGACTAAGCTTAAATAATAAACAAAATCAGAAAATACATTCTTCCCATTTTATTCATTTTCAAAATTCTTGTTGATTGTAAGGTGTTTTTTTATTTATTTATTTGTTAAGCACAAAGCTACACAATGGGCTATTTGTTTTTTGCCTATCACAGGTATTGAAACCCAATTTTTAGCATTATAAACCCCCCTAAGATTTACCACTTAACCAAAGGGGAGAGGCAGTGTTTAATTGAATTACTTTGGATTAGTACTTGTATTTCACATTTTTTGGTCTACATGTAATTGAAAAGCCCATTTAAAGATATATATTCTAGCTCCATTCAAATAGTCAATCTTGTAAACACCTTAATACATTAGTTTGTTTGTGTGTGTGTGTGTGTGTGTGTGTATGTATATATATTATTTTAGTTAAAACAAGACCGATGTCT